CTCAGGTGGGAGGTGGTGACCGAATGAAGGAGTCAAATGGTGTTGCAAATGCCTGTTTTTCAAGTACGAGTAGCCATCCTGGGAAGAGAGGACATAAAACTCTGCACCAGGATTAGTATAAAACCTGGATCCAGCATGCTAATTTTCTGGGACCCTAATAGTATTTGGGAGCTGGAAGGTGGAATATCAGCTCAAGAGAAAAGAGAAGCCACAGAGGAAGAAAACTATTTTTATTTTTCAAGGCACATTTTTGCCTTGCTGTTTCTCCAGGAAGGCTCCTGAGTCTGCCAGGAATCATGGGGCACTCCTTGGATTCCAAGGAAGGTTTCTGTGGGCTTTGACAACACCTGAACACCAGCATGGTGCTGTTGTTCCCTGGCTGGGAGCACAGTTTCTGTGGAAGCTGACAAGGATTGGTTCCTCACAGGATCAAATGGCTGCTCACCTCTAAAGGAGCCGAGCCTGATGTGCAGTGCTTGCAGTCATCCACAAACAAATGAGCTAATTAAATTTTTTATTTTTTTTATTTTTTTTTTTGGTGCTCTGGTATACTACATAGTCCAATTAATTTGCTAAGCAAATCATCTTGAAATAAATCAACCATATTGTTACATAATTCTTTTTAACAAACAGAGACATCATTATATGAACTGGGTTCTAAGGGTGCCAGATGCTTCTAAACAGGGAGTCTAATTTATTTCATTGACTTTAAGAAGCAACCCATTCATGTGTATGTAGCTTTTGTCATCCAAAATGCTAATTCTTGTCTGAGTTTAAATTAGATTTCTGTCTTTCTCATCCATAAATGAGAGCACAGAAGAGCTAAATATGGACCCTCTTTAATTTCCCGTCATACAATCGCATAAAAATCTTGTCCCAAAACACTGAATAAATGTCCTTTTAAACAAAGCTAATAGGATTAGAGGCCAAAACCACTTCTCAAAGATATTGTACCCAAGATGAGGAAAAAACATTTGATCTCTGAAAACAAAGGTTTTGCTGAAGAAAGAGCACTTGCTGGAAGGTCAGCATCGCATAATGGGAAAAATGGGATGGACTGGGCTCCTGGGCAGCCCATGGTGCTGCCCAGTAATTACATTCAACCTTAGAACAGAGCAGAGCAGCCTGGCAGAGGGCTCAGAGGCTCTGGCAGACTGGGAAACTTTGTTCCCTCTGTAAAAAAAAAGGAAAAAAAAGATTATGTGCTTTCGATTTGATTAAGGTTTCAAGGATACTATTAAGGGAGATGGGCAGCAGAGATGTTCCCTTCCAACACTGCCAGTGACGCAGGCTGCTCCAGAGGAGAGCAGAATGCACACATCTAACCCTGCAATCAAGCAAGCCTCTTTTTTATCTTTTTGCCCTTGGTTAATGCTTCTTTTTCTCCCGAAGAGAAGATTACAGGGAACAAAAAAAAATGTGTTGGTTGTTTTTATTGATGCATTCGTTGGAGGGTTGAGTGACTCACGCAGAAGTCAAGGTAAGCAAAGCAGCTTTGGTTGGCAGCTCTCTCCTAACCCACCTCCAAGGGTTTCCTGAAGAAATCGCTCTGGACCATTATTAACCTGCACCCTCAGAGATGCACAACAGCTGAGAAAGAAATGGGCATTACAGAATATTTTCTGTGCACCTGTGCTTACCATTCTGACTTGTTCCTGTTTATTTTGGACCACAACAAAACAGCCTTGCTTTGTATTTTCACTTGGCCAGTGATGATTGAAAGTGATTTCTCTGGATAAAAGCTGAAGAAAAAACCCCCGTGGTTTCCATTTGGACATTAGAAGGTTGATGTGTTTTGCTGTCACATTCTATTTTTAAATGCATGACACTGCACAGGTGTTCAGACTCTAAATCCTTAGCGAAATCTGTCATCTCTCTGCAGCTTGTCACTACATCAGCTCTCAGACTGAGGGGAGAATGAAGTTCCTGCATGGCAGAAAACTGCAAGTGCTCGACTGTGGTTAATGATGATTTCTTTCCGTAGCTGAAAAATATCCCTACATTTGATAAATTTTTCAGGTTATAAATTCTTTGAGGTTCTCATTTGCCTATCTAGAATTTTTCAAATTATTTTTCTACAAGCACTCAATGTAAAGAACACAAGCTAATATTAAAAATGTGAATCATTTTTGCAGGAGCAGAAGTTGTTAGTCTGAGTCAAAGATCAGGCTGGAGTTTTACCTCTGTGCTTGCTCTCCATAAAACTCTGAATTCAGAAAGATGAGACTTACAAAGAATTACACATCTTCCTGTGTCTGCCTTAAGAATATATTATTTCTCTATCTGTAGGCATTGCTAAAATGTAACAAGCGAAGAATTTAATAATCCATATTTTAAGAAAACCATTCTTGAGTTTTCAATTAGGAAAAAAACGGGGCTAACCCACACTAATGCTCCAAATGTTTGTTCAATCTCGTACACTGCTAACATAGAACACTATCCCACATCCAAACTGTAGAAAGGTGGGGAATGAAGCAGCTCTTACAGCACTGCTCCAGAGTCACCAGGCAAGTACCCATTTATGGTCCACTTTGGCATCCTTGTCCACAAGGAACATTTCCTTCTGTCTCTCTGGGGCAATTCTCTGTTGATACTGGAAGACCAAACTTAAGACCTGATCTTTAAATAAAGCTTAGATCTCCTAAAGAGACCTGAACCATCCATGTCCTTCTAGCTAAATTAGAGATAAAATTGTGAATGAAAACTATTCCTTTGCATATGATTATTTAAATTTTGGCTTGATAATCATTTAGCATCCATCATTAAACAAAACTACTGGTGCTTGTCTCAGTGATAAAGAACTCCAAGGAATCCATCTGGCTCTTGCACAACTAATTCAAGCTCTCTGAAGTTTTCTTCTATTCCCAATGCAATCCTTACTATTGGTCAGAGAGAGCAGGGAACTGGGGTCCCCTGAGCACTCTGAACCCAAACATGGCCTGGAGGGTGGGCTGTCATTCAAGTGTGCTGAAAGAGCCAGCTGATGTTATTGTGAGGCTGTTCACTATCAGGTTTGAAAGGTTTTGAAGACTGGGAGAGGGCCCTGACAACCAGGAAAGACCCCAGGTACAACAACTCTTTTTGAAAAGGCTAAAAACAATCTGGGAGATTACCAGCTGCTCAGAGCCACTTCAGCCCCCTGGGAAATCATGAGCACATCTTCTCTAAAGTCTGACGTGGTAAGGAAGGAGAAGACGATGACTGGGAATAGACAGCATAGATTTATCAGGGATTTATTAAATTTATCATGATTGACTAAACCGGTTGCCAAATATTTATCAAAAAGCTAGATCTGTGATTGAGGAGAGAGCAGAGGAATGTCACCTACTTTGTCCAGGTTTTTGACACAGCCTCCCAAGCACTTCTGCCTCCAACTTGGGATGCTTGCTGCCTTGATGAGGGGACAAATGAGTGAAAAGCAGCTGGACTTAGGCTTAGAAGGCAGTGGTTAATGAGTTACACTCTAAGCAGACATCAGTAACAAGGGGGGATCTTGTTCTCCTGTAAGACTGCAGACTGAATTCACAGATGGACTTTGAATCACTCCATCCATAATCACTATCACTACTGAAGAGATTTGACGTAGTTACTGGAAATCACAGTATAACAGAATAACTCCCTCTGGAAACTAATCTTCCCAAAGATGATTTAAACAATCTTGTTTGCTTCAGATTTCATTAAAAGTTATTTTCAAAATATATTGTTGACAGCTGTTGATGTTGGACCAAAGGTGACTATATGAATTCTAGACTTTGATTGGCAGAATTTAATTGAATTTAACCCTTTTTTCCCCTTGTTTCTAATATACACATTCCTTGAAACAAGCCATATTTGTATTGTGTAGTAAACTTAAAGGAAAGAATTCACCTACTAACTTCCCAGGATGTCGTCTTACATACACATACTGAATATGTCACAGGATGAGATGTTCTTCCTTGCTTGGCAATACATCCAGGACTGCTTCCTATTTGAGTTGTCAGGAAGACAGTACATTTCTTGAATAGATGGCTCAAAAACATTTTGAATAAAACAGAATTATTTTTTTTTTGCCTGGTGGGTTGCAAAATATCACAGAGCAGACAGACAGCACCATGTGAAAGAAGAATTTAATCTCAAATGTTAATTTATGAGATTTATCTTTATATTTAAGGCGATTAACAAAAGTGATTTTAACCCAGTGATCTCCTGGTCTAATCTTTTACCCTTCACTTGGATGTAGCACCCACTGCTTTCAGGACTCTGACACACCACAGAGAGGGCTCAACCAGTTTGCCCCAGACTTGAGACCATATAATGAAATTAGCAACCAGATCAGAGACAATTACGGGCTTTTATGAGTTACATCAATCACTTGGATTTATTCATATTTTCTTACAGAAGATTAATAGATACATAGAACATTAATATACTTTTACAGCAGTGTAATTTATAAAGGGGAAAAAGAAACTTTTAGGAAAAGATCTGATGCAATCTACTATTAATATTTTGGTGAGGGGAGATGAGACTGTTAAACTATTCACCTTGCAAACACAACTTAAAATTGATAAAGTACAGCCTAGGAAGGTTATTCTGTATCTTATCCTCCAGGGTCAATAATTCTACACTTGGAGCCTTCTCTGAACTGATTTCTCCGTATTTCAGATAGGAACACACTTTGATGTTCCTAAGCAAATTGATGCATTTCCCCCACACATTTATTGTTCTTATTCCTAACTGCTGAAAGAAAAACTAGCACCTTCTCTAGCTCTTAATGGAAAGCTTATCTATTAAAGATGATGACTTATATGAAAAAAGGTGGTGGTTCCAGGCAAAAGGACTATTTTACAGACTACTCTAAATGTATTTCTTTCAGTAATAGGAAATTTGAAGCAGTATCAGGTTTATATCAACAGAACATGTGATTCTTTAATAGCATCTTTCAACAGAAGCTTCTCTTACACACTGGCAGCTACAAAGGTTGTCACTGCTTGCAAAGAAATGTGAATTCCCTTGGGAATTCATGGGATATTTCTTTAATAGGAAATTAAGGACCGAGCAAAACATTTAGGTGTACAATCTGTTTATCTGTATTTCCTGCTGGTATTTTTCTTTTCAAACACTATCAATTTTACTCAGAGCACTGACACCCCTGAAGAGCTTGAAATGGAAATACTTCACTGGAGAGAATGCTAATGTTTCTGCAAGATACAAGAATGTTCTCCCTAAGCTATGAGCTGACCAAAACCAACCAGCTGTATTCATCCTCCTTTTTGTGGCTGTGCCTGTGAGTTCATGCATGGTGCTAATACAGTCACGTAGTTCACATCTTCAGAATATCCACAGAGCACACACAGTGTCCCATCCTCAGGGGCTGGCTGCAGATGTCCAGGAAAAACCCAACCTGTCTACATGACATAAAAAATTGGCAGTGAAAGCATCACAATTTGAAGTAGAAAAAACATTCCAAGAGAATTATTCAGAATATAATGCCTTCCTCCTGAATCTAGCCCATTTTCTTAATCTGTGATATTGCCATATTTGCCAAGACTCCTCTGTGTTACGGTTATAAGATACCAAGATGTCTAAGCAACTTGGGTCAGCACATATCTTTCCAGTGGGATGTTCTGTGAAAACCAAGAGGAAAGAGGAAAAAAAAATTAAAAAAAAAAATTATTCCAAACACTCAGAATCAGAAGAAAACATCAATAAAGAAGCAAAACTTGCTGTGACTCAGTGTTAATGTTGCAGATCTTTGAGGAAAAGGTACCTAGGAATATGCAAATAATGCAGCCTGAACAAAGTGTCTCAAGAGTGATAGAAAAGAAGATAGCTAAGCATAAAGGGAAGGAATTAGGAAAACTTTGTGCACAGTATTAGGAAAAACTAAAAAATATGATAGCATCAGCTGTGAGATTTCCTAGGGATTATCAGAGGACCTTCTAAAAAGCACTAAGGAAGAATACTAGGAAGTGTTTAGCATCAGCAATCCTACATTACAGGATGTTGTTGAGCAGTTTTCCAGGTATCCATCTGATAAGGAGAACAACAAAAGAAGGGAGAGTTTGCTGACAGCAAATGCAGTTCCTCACCAGTTTGATAAACTGGTGCCTAAATCTACAATCTCTAAAATCACATACTATGACACATGACCCAACGGTCCTTACATTTTAAGACTACAAATTCCCTTTAGTTTAAGGGCACACCTCACCAAGCACCCAAGCTGCAAATCCATGGATGGGCTCTCCCAGGATAAAACCCAGGCACATTCCTTCCTTGATTTCTGCTGAAGGATCCAATCCCAGATGTGGTTTTCACACACCTTTGACTAAGGTTGCAAAAAGAGGGGAAAAATGCTTGCAGTGATGCTTCTACCACATTTTATTTTCTAGTGTCGCTTTGCAGGAACAAGAACATCCTCACGTAGGTGCAGGAAAAGTCACCTTCATGCTCTCACTGGATTTGTACATACTCCACCTCCCACCAAAAGAAATGAACCCATTTATATCTATTGTGTCTCTTCAAGGTAGATCCAAGCAGGTTTCAGTCCTGTTGAGGGCACAGACTGAGCACCCTGCTGTAGAATACTGTCTCCCCTGATAAATTTGATACTCTCTTGAGAGATCCAAGCTCATTTTCCCTTCTGCCATCCTAACCAGGGGATAAGCATTGACTTACTTGTACAGAGAAAATGGAGATATCACCTCTTTATTCATCAGTCACTAAAAACTGTTCTACCTTAAGCCACCCAGCAACCTTTAAAAAGTCTCCTAGTCCAAGTAGAAGCAGGCATCCCTGCAATCCCTGTTCTGGACCTTTCCTTCTGTGTGGGGAACTGGCTGAATCTCATTCTCAGGTACCATATACAATCTGCAGGTGTTTAATTCAAAGTCATGATATTGATAACCTCTGTATTATCTTTTAATGACTGAATTTTCCAGAAGTGAGTGAAGAAAACTCCTGACCACATTTAGTCAAGATATTATTCTCAAATTGAAGAAACAAGGAAAACAACCCAAACAAACCAACTGAATTTACATAGATTTTCTTGCCTTACTAAAATTGATCACTAGTCCTTTTCCAGGTGAGTATTTTGAGCAGGAGTCAGAACCAAACAAATTATACAACAGCCCATGTTTCCATTACAGCCAAGGGAAGATCAAAAGCTCTTCTGTAGCCTCTACATATCTGTCCAAAATACCAAAATGTGGCCACCCCAGGAAATTCTGGTGAACTGATTGCAATGCAGGCATGTTTTGTCTTTCAAACTTGTTTCTGTTTCAAATACTATTTTAGTCCATTTCCTATGAAAATCTAGCTTCCTGTGATGCTGTTGCCCAGCATCACTCAAAGAGCTGTTCAACCATTCTGTGCACTTCAGCTGGATCAGAACTGATGATCCCAAGGATAATTAAATTTCTGTTATATAATTGTAGTGGATGAGACAGGAATCGGGACATAGGGCACATGTTCAGCAGGCTTTATTAATAACTGATCACAGACAGAGTTTATCTCAATACTCCCAAAAGCATGCAAGGATTTCACTGGTGTAGGACAAGTCAGTCAATGACTACTAAGCTGTATTATCAGGACTACAGTTTCAACATCTAAATAGAATGAAGCTCCATCTCCCTCATAGTTACCAGCATTAGTGAAAAAAATTAAAAATAAATCTTGTAGTTACTCTGGATGGACAAGACAATCCAATCCATCAAAACAAAACATACAATAGTCAATATATTTATATTTGTCCTCATATTAATCTTATTATTCCACCAAAAATATAACTGTGCTGTTCATTGAAAGAATATTGCAAACTCACCAGAAGGCAAATTTCTGCAGAATGGTGCCCTTAGTCAGCATAAATACAAAGTTTGCTATTTTAAATTCATTCTTTCCTCCATTGTTCAACACCAGGTATTAAAAATAGCAACACTGAACCCTCAGTCTAAGCAAGTAGAGTAACAGATCCCATCCAATACCCACAAAAAGGCTTTGTTGAATAAAATATGGAGTTTAAATTCCCTGGTTACTGCAGTGTAAGGCTGCCCATTGCTGATAACGCAGAGGTCACACGTGTCTGAATAAAAGGATTATGGGGTGAACCCCATAAAATGGATCTGAGTATGAGGTAAAGAAAAGACTTGAAGAGTGAGATGGAGGAGAATAAATTTCGTACTCTTTAAGAACTTTAAGGTATTAACTGTGATTTCACCAAAATGGATGTAAAAAAATAAAAATCTGGGATTACAGGTTCTAGGGGGAAGGAGAGAAAGCATAAAGAAACTAAAAACCTTCTGTGCCCCAGGATGGTAATGTGTTAGAAATGCAGTTTGTTGCACCTCTTGGTCTGGATCTAAGTTTTACACAACAGAGCTCACTGCCACAATGAGACCTTCACTGGCAGAGGGTGTCCCTACACAGACAGGAAGTATATGCTTTTTTGAAACAAATGCTTTTTAGGGCAGAATCTACAACATCTACAGTTCTATAAAACTTGCTCCTTAAAAACCAATTCTTCTCATCATATTCCAGTCATGTGCTTTAAAAGTGGACATCCACTCAGACTTGGAATCGTGACAAATGAGTTAAAAAATGTACAATTTTAAATGGAAACATTCTGGAAATACATAATACAACCTAGGACCCAAAGCTGATAAACCTTTGGATTGGTTT